ATACCCAAAATTTTGCAAGGAATTTTTTTTGTTAGAACACAAAAGGTGGTTTCATAAGCAAAATTATGAGTTACAAGCAATTTTTTCAAAACATTGTTATTTTTTTCTATTTCATGTTACACCTGATCTTACGATCTGATTGGTCAATCAGGTGGGTGTGTTACAACGCACATGCGCTAAATTATATAACTCTAAATTATATATATATTTTATAAATCTTTAATATTAAATAACATTTGATCTACTGGTCCGATTTAGATTATTTAACTGTCAAAATGTTCGTCTTGATGAGACGAACATTTTGACAGTTAAATCATCCAAATCGGACCAGTAGATCAAATGTTATTCAATTTTAAAAATATTAAAAAGATTTTTAATAATTAATTAAATCAGCCAATCAGAATCAAGCTAGAGTGATCACACCATACATGGATGGGGGTGGCTACTAAGTAAAAAATATTATGTGATAAATGACACACCCCTAACAAAAACAAAAAAAAACAAAAAAAAAAACTGCGAAGGCAGGAAAAAAAAAAAAACTGCGAAAAAAAAAACAAATAATCGATTTTTTCTTTTTTTCTATTTATACTTAATCAATTACCAAATCAATTAAATTAATCAATAATTCAATAATCACATTGTGATTATTGATATGCATGATCGATCACGTAGGTACAAGGCTTTAGTGATCCCCCATATTTGGTAATTTAAGTCTGAATTTAGATATCAGATATCTGAATTCAGATAGACAAATTTAAAACATATATAAGAACTTGCGGAGTAATTGCAACAGTGAATGGTGAAATAGTATAAATAAATGTGTTTTCTCGTGTTGCTTTTTAATTATTTTTATTTTGCGATGACTACTTAAGTGTTAAACATTTTAATGCATATTCCTCAAAATTCAAGCCATTCGCGATCTACTCAAAATAAGCCTAATTACGCTCTTGAACATAGTAAAAGACACTACCGATATCATAAAAAAGATATCTTGATACGTTTTTCTCCTTTCGCATCAGCCTCGAGATGCAATTCTCTTCTTGAAAGATCTTTATAGATATTAAGTGCCTTTTTGTAATTGTCTGATTCATAGAATTTTGCCAACTTATATATTTTGCATAATCTTTATATTTTGAATTAAATTCTTACAAACTTAATATTTATATGCTGAGTTTTTGTATTTTTTTTACTGTAATTAAAACTTTTTAATTCAACAATTTTATATTTATGTTTAATATAGAAAATTCTATCAAGATATTGGTGTTAACACAGTAATTTGAAAAATATATTAATTTCATTAGTGACTTACTTTATAATAAAATTTACATTTTTTTTTTTTTTTACATTCATAAATATTTTAAAAATTTAAATTTTTCATATATTAAAGACTATACACAGCGTGAAAAATTAAATATATATAAATTACAAAAAAAAAGTACCAAAAATTAAATAATAATTTAAATTAAACCTATCTTCCTCTAATGTATAATGATAATTTTTTCTTTTAACAAACCAGCTATTTGAAATGCTATTTTTCTTACACGAGTGCATTTTAAAATGACCAAAAATCCTATATCAAATTCTTCTTTTCTAATTCCTTCAATATTTAAATTTCTCACCCTAACAGTAGACTCAACTTCATTTACATTTATTCTGTCTAATTATTAAGATCATGTAATTAGATATTAAATACTGTATAAAAAAAGAAATATTAATAACTTACCAATAGAACTTTTAAAATACGCTTTATATTGAAAAACAAAAGTAAATCCGTTCATCTCTATTATGTCTTTACCACCATCTCCACGTTTACTAAATTAATAATATTAATAAGTTTTGCTTCATAGCCAAAACACATATTCTATTTACCAGGTTAATTTCAGAACTATTGCACAATAGAAATCAAACAACTAAGAAGAACGTTCTATGCCGAAACATAGGCCACGAAGAGCTTTCAATTCTTGGATATTTTATGCTAACCTGGCAGCGTAACTTCGAATACATAATAACTCGACAAAACTTGTGAGAAAATACTCACCCAGTGTGAACAATTTTGGCACCCCAAATTTTATACGTACCTCATCAAAATCAAATTTATACCTTTTATATCCATTAGATATTATTCGTGTGTTTAGTAAAATAGCATAAGATATTCTAGACCCTCTTTCTTCTTACTTGTTAATAAAATTTTTAGAAATAAAAATTTAGACTGTATTAAAATATTAAAATACTTTTGCAAAAAAAACATCTTTCTTTTTAAGCATAAAGTAAAAAAAATATATATAATATTATCATTAACTAAATATTGGCACTTTTTCAGTATCATTATCATTATTTGTCCTGTTAACAATATCACAGGAGCTAATACATAATAAAATTGCTACAACAGTTAAGAAGAAAGCGCTTATAATAGCTAAATAAATGCCAGGACCAGTGTTTTGACTTCCAATACCAGGAATAATAGAAATAAGATCAAATATCCAAATAAAAAGTAAGAGATCAAAAAAACAAGCAATGATATTAAATAGGAAAGAAGTTAATATGAGTAAAGCAGCAATAATTGTAAAGTAAAAATATAATAAAGGTAAAGAAATTACATTAAATATTAAACCTATTAAATAAGGAATAATGAAAAAACCCAAAACATTAGCAGGACTTGGTTTAAAATTGTCAAAAGCACTTAATAACTGCGATAATAAACCCAGGGCTACTGCAGCAATATCTCCGACAGAATTTGCAGCAGTATTTGCAGCATTGGTGACAGCACTACTAATGGCCAAAACAGCTGAATCTAAACTAGATAGAACATTAGGAATTGAAGGTGTTGGAATTGAAGAAATTGGAATATCGAGACGGTTTTGATTTGAGAATTTACTAGTGATTTCTGAAAAAGAGGGCACTAACAATTAAAAATAATTTAATAAAAAAAACGATAAGAAAATATTCAAAATTAATTTATTATATAACTTACATTTATCAAAATTATAAACTAGTGAAGGTGTAGTGCAAGAATTATCTACACAATAACCGAATAAAGTGAAAGTAATATCATTTTTATTTGTAATAAGTTTTATCAGTTCGTCAAAAGTAAATAAATAGTTTTAGAACTACTAATCAAAAGAATAAGAAGAAATAAGATAGACAAAAGAATTAACATGACAGAAGA